TATCATCATTAAATTTTGGAAAAAAAATTGTAAAAAAAAACATTTTTATAAATTTTTAATTTTTTATGTTGTTGGGAAAGCAATGAAGTACTTGGAATTGACATGTTTAATTGTTTGCATTTTGTAGGACCATTCCTTTCAAAATAATGTATTGTTTCACTTCACATGTTTAGTATCGATAATAATGTTGTAATATTGGACATAAAGAGCATTTGAGTGAGACGTGGTCCTTTTTGTGGTGTAATAGTTTTTACTGTAGTATTAGTAACACAGTAATTTTAAATCAATTACAGAGCTTTAAGATAMGAGGTTTTAAAAGCATAGGATGCAACACTCAGTACATTTTTAAAGTGTCTTATTTATCAAACAGAAGCTCTTTAAAAAGATCTTTACATCCTTCAACATACTTTGTTTATAAAGCAATAAACAGCAGCATATTTTCCTAGCATCACACAGGAAGAAACATATAAGAGTAAAATATCACGTAAATGGTTACACAACAGATCTGTGCTGAAAATGTTTTTATTATAAACTTTTTGTGCCAGCTTTATGAGTCAGTTTTCTTTGCAGTGTGAAGCAAAGATGGACTGTAATCCGACGTGTCTGTGTCTGCGTTAGCAAAATATCTCATGAACCTMTCATGGACTAGTTTTAATCAAACTTGTTCTCTGTCAACTCTGTCGGTTTTACAGATAATGACCCAAAGTTTGGTGCGATGGTAGCTGATCCTCAAAACATGTAGACCTGACTGTGTCTGTCTGTTAGCAACTCGTGAACCAGTGGATTTTAATGAGACCTCCAGGAAACAGCTTTGGAAGTCATTCCAATTTAAAATGACCACCACAGTTGATCTGTCTTAGCTGACTTACAGAAACAGATGTCGAACTAAAATTTGATGTGGTAGTGGCTGWGAGGTYRCTTTTCACTCCATTTTGGCGCATTTATTTTCTGCGTTTGTATCTAATCGGATGTTTAATCTAAAGAAATAAGCAGGTTTACCTCTCTGTTTCTCTCAGCAGTCAGGAGACCGTTGGGGCGTCCACACCAGAACTTGAAAAATGTTTAATTAGATTTGTTGTCGAACACGATTTTGATGACAACAATCTTCTCTGACTGCAGTCTCTCTCCGGGGCTGCTGACAATAATAGAGAAATTAAACAAAATTAACCACAGCTCTAAGGGTTTTTTTTAACTTGTACATGATTCATGTTGCCTGTGGCTTTGAGGGTATGTAAGGCTATGTCCTCTCATTAACTGATATACAGCACTGAGACCTTTTAAGACTTTTTGGGGGTAAATTAATAAAGCTATTTAATTGTTTTTGTTCCTGCTGGGTGTTCTGGAACAGWGAGTTAGGCAAAATCAAAATGGTGATATATATATTTTTTAATATGTATTTTTAATGGCGTAATCACAGCTAAAAGCTGCAACAGTATGATTATGTTTCTTAATTAAACAAGGGCGGGAATGTTTTTCATGCTAATGTTGTACAGAGCAGGGCGTGAGCAGAAGGAGAACCTGCAGGATCAGTGAAGCGCTGCTGCCCTGAAGCCCCCCAGACATCATGAGGGGGGCCATGAAGAACTGCGTCTTCAGGCTGAAGCTAGCCTGTGGAGCCAGACTGACAGAACACACAGGTAATTCTGGTGCTTCTGCGTTTCTGACATCAGCTAATATTCTACATGATGAGACTCACCAAAAAACATGATTTATATTTTCCACTTTTGCACAAAGTATGTTTTTTTCTTGTCAGAGTGTAATGTAAAATAAATTTTATCTAAACATCTTCGGGGGAATGGGCCAGGATATGAGGATAAACAGTAATTAAGTTTGAGGGGAAGATGATGAAAATGTCAAATCTGAATGTTAAAATTACAGTATAATCCAGAGAGAGAGGTAAACACCCACATACTGCTTGGAAGAAAGATGAAAATAAATAAGTTTGGCAGGTACTGTGAGGTTCACACAGATAAGAGAGACAATATTAGGAGAAACACAGTAATGCTTTTGCCAGTATGCCTGTGTTTGTCTGTCAGTAAAATATCTCATCACTCAAAGGATGGATTTTAAAGAAACCTATAAAAATAACAATTAGATGAGCATCTATAATTGATTAACTTATGGACTCAAACCCAATAAAGATGGCTGCCACAGCTAATTAACAAAAGCAAAAGAAAAAGAAAAACTGAGAAAAAAACCCTGCAACTACCTGATGAGTGCAAACACTGTAAATTAAGCACAAACAAAATGACGATTCGTGTTCTGAGTGACCTACAAGAACATTAATAGATCTAGAAAAGGCTGCAATCATTTTAATCTGTCATCACTTTTCTTTACTAATAATACTTTGTTGTGCTTTATTGTCAGACTAGCGTAGTTCTTTTAAAATAACCATATTGTTTACTCAGTAAACATTAAAATAAAGTGCTTCTGTGGTGTTTTTGTTGACAGCACCCATGTTGTTTCCAAGTTTCCAGTCTGCCTTTTGAATTAGCTTTTTGTTAACTTCAAAGTAGCACCAAAAAATTTTTAAATGGTGCCTATCCTTCAGTCTGACTGACTTCTTTTTAAAAAGCGCTGCAAACCGTTTCAGACCTGAATCTCCAAACCTTTGATTCGTACTGTGATAGCAGCGCTACAGTTTAAAAGTAGTTATTGTCAGATTTCTTTCTTTGTGTTTCTCCTCTGACTGATCTGACGCCGTCTAATACAACGGAAAATTATAGTTCTGTCGCTCACATCAAAACACACACCACTTTAAAACACAGCCGACAGAAACGATGGAAAACTGACAAGCCCTTTTTTATCATCTTTTCACTGAAAATATTGTTTTTTCATGCTAGGGTTTTAAACTGAGACCATCTCATGTTGAGAAATGAGTTTTAGCTTTGAAAAATAAAAGTAAGTTCGCTAAGACAGCCATGTTGAATTTAGATTTAGGTTACTATTTTTTGTTTGTTTGAGGCCCTTCATATCAATGATATTCCCARAGCATGATGCTGCCACCACCATGCTTTGTTATGAAGTTGTTTTATTGGAATGATAAGAGACAGGGGGGTTCCTTTTTACTCAATTTGATTGTAAACAATGAAAAAATTATGTATTTTCACCTTCACAATCAAGGTGTTTCAGGTTTGGTTTTTGATGTAAATGCTTTCTGTCTGGAGGACCAAAGCGGTCCACGTTTCTGGACSCTGGCTCGTGTTCCTCTGAGACTCCATGTGACTGAGTATGACTGATGAAAACTTTGTTAAATGCRAGTGTTCAGAGGTGAAGGCTCACAGTGTTCAGTTTGCTGTGGGTAAATATCAGGTAACATCTTAATAGAAATGTAAGAAGAAAAAAGGCTTTTAAGGTGAAAGGATGGTTTATTCTGTCTCTTTGCTGCCGTCTTCTGGGCAAAACAGGAACATGCTCTGAACAAATGGAAACAAATACTGTATATGACAAGACAAAAGCTCATGATTTGACATTAATCAAATTTATTGATCATCAGTTTTTATCAAATTAAGCTACAAGACATGAACTGCTTYGTAAATGGGTTGTAGATGTACATCCAGTGACTTGTTCATTTTATTCTGGAGACGTGATAAAGTGCTATACAAGTGCAGGCCATTTACTATTTTACTTTATTTCTGCTTGATATCAAGTTGCTCAGATGAAATAAGTTTATTATTAATTATTGGCCTTCCTGTTAAATCTCTTTGATCTAAACACTAAAATGTCCAGCAGTGTTTATAGGTCATTGAGGTGACTCATTAGTCAACTTTTAAAACCAGAAGATAAAGACATTTTTTGAACATTTCAAATTTTGAGAAACTAAAAAAATTCTGTTTGATTTATGAGGCAACGTCTCTATCTAGTGTTTGAAATGGAAACTGCATATGAAACTTTGATAATAAAAAGCAATTTGTTTGTCGCAGACGAGTGTTTTTATTAAATGAAGTATGTGGATTAAGTAAAGTATTTTTTTTACTTTTATTTATAATTTTAATGTTCATATTTATGCACAAACGCTTCATGTAATCAACAGCAGTTTTACCTGACAGTGTTGGTTAGGCATCACCTGTTTTTCAGTCTGGATCTGGAAGTCCTGCAGGACCTTAGCCCTGCTGTTCTCCATCACCCTTTGTGGAGTTTTCCACTTTGACTGTGGGACTAGTGTACACTCTGCTCGGACGTTCCTGTATATTATTTCAACCACGTGTTCATGGTGCTCCATGTTTTGCCTGCCTGTATTTTGCATCCTGCCATAATGTGCTGGACCGTCTCAGGGGCATCTTGGCTCCTGCCTGGTACAGACCCCAGCCTCCTGTGCAGCTCTCTGATCACTGGCGGGGTTTGATGACATCAGCCATCTCAGTCTGTTGGTGGTACATGCTGCTCCTTGTTTCTCCTCTTCCACACCAAGACATTCACTCGTCATCAGTTCATCACTGTGGGCTTTCTTCCTGATGTACTCCAGGTTCTTAGTGGTTTTATTCTGGAGAGTTGTGATGACTAGCACTACATGTGTTGATGCTCGAACTTTGTTCTCCCCATTCAGCTGGACCTTCAGGACCTGTCTCGGTACTTGATTGTGGCAGAGTTTAATTAATTGTTAACAGTTAATGGTGAAAGTCAGTTGTTTTCAGCAGGCCCACCGTATGACTCCAGAAATTGAAGTCTAGTTGTGTGTGGGGATTTTTGGACTGTTTGGCAGTAGGTTTCTTACCCCTATCTTAAAAACCATTTGACAGTCTGCAGAAAACCTTGGCCTTAAGCACCAAGAGACAGTGATCAGAGACATCCAGCCCAAGTGTTCCAGAAATAGTTTGAACAAAACAATGTCAGCACTTTGAAGAGTCCCAGCCGGAGGAACTGAAGTATCACAACCTCCAAGTCATGAAGACTGTTTCCAATGAGGTTTTATGTAAAATCAATTCTAAGTTTTTAAGTTCAGTTTTTGACCAGTTTCACTTTGAATACCTCAGATTATATATAAAAAAACACAAAACAAATGATGGATCTTTAGGTTTTAGTAGAATTTATAAAAAACAAAATTAACACAATAACCGAATCATGTCATACATCGTGTTTTTCCTTTGTTTCTCTGAGGAGTAATTACAAAACAAACATATATATACAGACATCAAGAACTCAGAGATGGAGAAAGCTATAGGACGTCCAGCACGAAACAACCAGTTAGCATATTGATAATATATTTATTATGTACAACGTAACTGGCCAGGCTAGAGCAAGAAAGAGGACAGAAGATTCTGCAAAAGGTTTCAATAACTTCAAGTATCTGTTTTGAGGTTTTGTGGAGGATTTTTTTTAATCCATCAGACACAGATTTTGAGCGACACTGAAGCAAAACTGAAAATCTGGTCAAGCTGTGTAGTGTTTGTAGATGAAGACAGGAGGAACTCCAGCCATAAAAAGAGGGCAAAACAAACATCGCAAGAAAGGTTTTCTTCTCCAATAAATGCCCACATTTTAGGTAACCTTTAACAAAATCTCCACATTTAAAGTGATAACCAGCTTATTGGCCTATAGCACCTTCTTACTCATTTAAAAAACTGCAGACATCTTGAAAAGCTGACAAAATACAACAGGTTTCCTAACAGATCTTATGGTTCTGGATTATGGGATGTAACTGAAGTTCAGACAACTTCACAGACTATAATGTGAGGTTGTTTATCACAGCTCCAAAAAGATCTCCATCACACTGAATTATGTCCTTTTTTTTTTTTAAGAAAAAGTCTAGTACCTCACATGTGAATTAAGGTCCATATATCAAGAAAAAATAATAAGAATTGCACAGTCAGTTGTATGAAAGGTTAAGGTTTGTATGAGAAGAAGAACTAGCTTATTTGAGGATATTAGTTTGCTGTAGTTTGGCCTACTCTAATCATAAAGCTGCTATGAAGGAACATGTAGCCCAAGCACAGGCTAATAAGTCCTATTTATGTCTCCTAGTGCATCAAACACAAATGCTACTGTACTTCACAACGTTCTTGTAACAACACTGTAGATCAGCTGCCCCACTTGTTTACATTTTTAGTATAGTGTATCTAGTTTGGAAGGGGAAAAGATATTCATATACAAAAGTAGAGGCAGGATGTCATCCATGCCGTGATGGAGTTCCACAGGGCATCCCTTAAACAGCAGTCCACCTCCACTGTTACTGTCAGAACCAGGACCAGAGAGGAATTAAAAACCCTAAATCAGAGCAGCAGAAACAGCTGTTCTTGAAAAGCTCAAAATAAAAAAAATGAAAGTGAAATTTAGGACTTTGGGTTTGGTGCAGTTTGAGGGCGATCGGGGTACCAACTGAGATCAGCTGCCCTGAAGTAGACGCCCAAACACCCCCTGGTCTCTCTCTCAGCAAACAGTAAGAGGCTGAGGCTGGCCGTCCCGGCGCTGGTTCTTCTTCAGCAGCTGGATGCGGTTGTGGCAGTAGAACTTGACAGCTCGCCAGTCACGGTGGTTGTTGACCAGCAGGGGGCACTGCTGCAGGCAGCGCTCGCAGTCGGCCTTGGCAGGGACTCTCAGCTCGTTAATGTTCTGAGTCAGGTGCTCTTCTACCGCCGCTCGCTCCGCCTCCGACCAGGGACGCTTTAGGACACCTCGCTTTCCTGCACAGCACAGAGGAAATTAAAGAACGGTTCTAATTAACTCGTCTAATTGCTTCTCCCACTTGGCATCAGGATAATGAAACATACTCTCCACTTTGATACAAACACTCATGTTGAGCTCACATTAAAAACTCTAAAGTTGTATATGGGAGATGGTAAAATATTTACTTATTTTCCTACTTTTATCTCCAAATTTGACAACTACAAATACATCAAAATTACAAACTCGAATGTTTTGAACTTTTTTTTAGCGAAACATCCTCATTCTTTCAGAGCTGTCACTCTAATGTCAATCAATACTTTTCCTGTTAAATTCAACAGACAAAAGAGTYGAGCATGTTGTGAGACAAGTTGTTCGCAATAAGCCTTTAAAAGGGATCAACGATTAGTTGTAACATTAGACTTTATTTGATAAACATTTATTTTAACTGTAAAATAAAGACTAAAAATACTGTAGGCTGTTTAGTTTTTTAAAWTTTTTAAAATATATTTTAACATGGATGGAGCCATTTTATTTAGTTGAAGTATATATTTATCAAATAAAGTCTAATGTTACAACTAATCAAGGACCCCTTTAAATAAACTCATGCTTTGTCTTTTTTAATTAATTACAACAAAAAGAAAGTTATCCACTCCCACCCTAACATTTATCTGAACCACACAATTTTCTGTTTCATTAAAACGTAGTAAAGACATCGCTGACACACAAAGGGTTTTGGGCCGACCTGTTCCTCTCCTTCGGTTTGCAGGAGTGAGTGGTGGAGGGGGAGGAGTAGGGGGAGTAAGAGGCTGGACCATTTTGATCTTCTTAGGCCGTCCCACCCGCCCATTGTTCTTGCCCTTCCTGACGTAGAGCAGTGTAGGTGGAGCGATCAGAGCAGGAGTCGGAGCCGGCACCTCGGGCTTCTCCTTCACGTGCTCCCCGTCAGAGTCTCCCTCTGAGTACGAGTCTGCCGAGTTTCCTGACATGACTGGAGACAAAGAAAAGAAGAAAATGAATAAGAGAGAGAAATACAAGAAGTTAAAGTTGTACAGAGCCTGTTTCTCTTCATAATTTCCCAGTTGGAAAGACATTTGAGACACCCCTCATTCTGCTAGCTCACCATCCAGCTCCAGACAGATGTGGTTCAGGCTCATCCCTCTGAAGAGCACCCCATCTCTCTCCCCACACAGCACGACCCGGCCGACTCTGCCCATCAGGCCGGGGTCTTGGCCGATCGTGGCACAGTTCTGAGTCACGTGGTACTCCCTCTCAAGGAAGTGCTCCAGCCTCTCCACGGCGCTTCCTCCCGGCTGCCGGGGCTCCTCTCCTTCCCCCAGGAGCAGGAGCTGGGTGAGGATCGCCACCTGACGGCGAACCCTGGTCTGCGTCAGGGCGCGGGGATTTCGAGTGCCGCTGGAGCGGGCGAGGCTGCGGAGGAGGTCGGTGCCACGCAGAGGTGTGGCGGGAGAGTGGTAGGGCCGGGCGAACACGTACGGGTTGGCCGGGTCGACCCCTACGTCCTCTCGGGTCTGCAGCAGGAGCTCCAGACAGGGTTCACAGTGAGGAGGAAGGATGAGGGGCTGAATGCGGCCACGCTTCCCTTGGACCCCAACTCTAGAGAGGTGAGGGAGCACCAGCCGCTCGAAGGGCGAGAGGGAGGCCTCCAGTGGCGTGAGACCAGAAGAAGCCCCAGACGGGACAGGGCACTGAGGAGTCACACGAGAGCGATATTCAGCGATGGACAGCTTCGAGACCTCACATTCACGTCTGCGGTTGTACAGGATGAGGAGCGCCAGGCTGGAGTGGCAGAGGAGGCGCCAGGCCTCCGCAGACTGCAGCTGCCGGGACAGAGACAAGAAGGCAGAGTGCTGGAGCCGACGGAGGTACAGGACCAGAGAGGACAGGGAGGACAGGAGGGGAAGCATGTGGTGACGCCCAGAACTACAGCAGGACGAGAGAGSGAGGAAAAAAAGTGAAATATAACTTTTTATTTAGTTATTTATAAAACTTTGCTCCAGTATCCTACTAAGTATTGGAGCCCAGTAGTTAAATGTAAAGTTAGAGGAAATAACAGATTCATTTGAATTTATGCATTTTTCAACCTTAATAATCTGTTAAAGTGACACATTATTTCATTCAGGTGCATATTTTGGTCAATGATCTATTCAGACAGAACCCCGTCATACAAACATAAGTATCTTTCACAACAATATTATTTCCTAAGAGGTGAAAAACCTAGATGTCCAAAAAATAAATCTGAAGCTTCAGCTGCAGATGAAATAATTGAAGGAATCAGAAAAATTACCTGAGCAACTCCTTGTCTTTTTCCTCCGTTCCACTTTCATCACCAATTTCCATCTCTCCATTCTCATCTTCTTCATTCTCCTCCTCCTCTTCCTCCTTCTTTAGTGGCTCTATCTCTTTGGATGTTCTGCTGCTGAAGGACTGAGGGCACCCCAGCTCTAAATCCTCCTCCTCTTTGGGTCTCTTTACAGCTACTACTTCCACTTCCTCTTCCTCCGCCTCATTCTCTTCTTCCTTCATTTGTTTTTCTTTCTTTTGTCTCCTCATCACTCCCTTCCTGGATTGGGCTGCAGATACAGGGGGTGGGCTTCTCTTTACAACAGACACTGCCACTGCATTTTGTCCACAAAGAGGAGTCAGATTGGGAGGGGTGGCATTGCCCCCTGAGGAGGCGTGGGGCTGGTTGGCTGCAGTAAGAGTGGGCGGGGACATGGACAGGTCCTGGATGCCACTCTGTGCAGGATCTGGACAGATGCTCTGACCTCTGGTGTGGGACAACTTCGGCTGCTGCTGGGTGGGAGAGTGAGCTGCTGCAGGGTTTGTGTTCTGTGCCTGCAGACGGGGCATCTGGGTGTAGCGCTCAACCAGGGCAGAGCACACGTCGGGCTGGTGGGAGTGGTGTTTGTCTAAGTGACGGCCCAGAGAGCGGAAGTGCCGACCACAGTGTTCGCAGGTTTGGCGCGTGGAGTCGACAGCAGCACCTACTTTTTGGGCATTTGTGGGGACATTTCCTGTGACGGTGGGTCCCAGCGGAGTTGGAAGTTTGAACTCTGGCTTGGCAGAAGCGGAGGATGAGGAAGACGAGCTGGGAGAAAAGGACTGGGACGAAGCAAGTGGGCGACTTGGGTGAGACACGCCGGAGGAGGAGGCAGGGGGCGAGCGCCCAGGCAGGGTCCGATGAGGGGGTTTCTTCTTGGAAGGGGTGCCGCGCCGCTTCTTGCGCCGACGTGGGGGTCGCCCACGTGGACTGGAGTTGTCCTCACCTCCAGCATCTGATTCACTGGCATCAGAGTGGGAGATGGGGGAGGACGATGGGGAGAGGGACCAAGAGGGGGTGACGTATTCCTGTTGTTGCCGCCTCTGATGCTGCTGCTGGGATGTCAAAGGAAGGGGCTCATCCTCCTAGAAGGATAAAAAGGATCATTTTTTTATTCTTTTTCTTTTTTTAACAGGGGCCAGAACTTGATTTGACATAAACATCAACTATGTAATTTTGGCAACAGTTTTTTTTTCCTTGACTTATTTGCACTTTCTGCAAATTTGATRTTTTGCTTCAAATGGTAGAAAAAAATCTTAGAAATGCAAATCCTAATGAGTCCAGACTCTATTCTCCTGCATTTTTCACTATTACTATATTACACATTAGAGGTATATCTAACCTCTAAACCAGGGGTGTCCAATCCTGGTCCTCAAGGATCACCAACCAGCATGTGTTTGAGATTATTCTGCTCCAGCCCACCTGATTTGAATGAATGGGCAGGGCTCTAGACTAACTTTTTGCACTGGTTGCACTGGTGTGCCTAACATTTTTCCTTAGGTGCACCAGTACAAAAATCAGGTACACCCAAATTTGCAAATGCCTCACGTTTAACATTCATGTTTTAATGGTTCACCTTTTTAAAATCACACTCTAGAGCAGTGGTTCCCAAACTTTTTGTCTTCTGACCCACAAAATATTCATGGCAAAAACTTGTGACCCCAAATATTACTGGTCTGAGTACACGAACTTTGTTAATAACCCTAAAACACAGGCTTTTTGACAATCTAAACAGCTTGTACACAAATAAATACTTATTTATACTTATTTTGTGTTTTTGTAATAGTTATACGAAAAATATTACATCAGCAAAATTTTTATTACCCTTTAAATTGATTTCTGGAGATTATCCAAGGTGCTTCATGGCCCATAATTGGGTCCCAAGCCCAACTTTGAGAACCAAAGTGTAGTGGTTCCCAAACTTTTCAGCTTTTGACCCACAAAATAACAGTAGCAGAGACATGAGCCTAGGGCTGGGCGATATTAGTAAAAGAAATAATCACAATTAATTGTGGTATTTAGCCAATAARGATTAATTTGACGATTAATCCCCTGGACACCCTTATGTCCTAGTCAACTGACCAATTTAGTGGGAAAGATTTGTTTTTTGTAAAAATCTGTTCCAAACTGTGTCAAAATTACATTGCAGAACTTTTTTTTATGTTCGTCATATTTGAAGCGGAGCGGAGCATCGAGCAGACTGATAGGAGAATTCTCCAGTCAGCCTGCCTGCTGGCATTAATCGTATTAATCGTCAAGTGCCAAAAAATAATCGATTAATGTTTTTCTGGCGATTAATTGCACARGACACGATTATGCCCAACCCTACCTGAGCCCTCAYCTATTTTTGGATGATAAACATTTGTATCAGGTSAACTAAACATGGGCATAGTAACAATATTTTTATACTACATTTATACATTTTAAATACACTAACCTCACTCCTTTGTAACAACTAAGGCAAAAATGTAATTYATTCAGAAAATCTTTTCAGGACCCTACCTTGATGTTTCAGGACCCCACTTTGGGTCCTGACCCCAACTTTGGGAAACACTGCTCTAGAGCCCTGATGGGTGATTAACAGGCTTCTGCAAAACTTGAGGAGGTATTTCAATCCCTGAATCAGGTGTTGGAGCAAAGAAATAAATAAAAACCTGCAGGATTTCAGCCTTCGAGGACCAGTACTGGACAACCCGGCTCTAAACAGAAACGAAACATGAGCAGCCACAGTCGGTGATGCCACTTAGCTTTTAAGAAGTTAAACTCTACTGACATTATGCATCATTATTACACATAATAAAACAATTATCCAAGGGAGGAATAAATTTAATGATAAAGGTTGTGTTAATTTTAGTATCAGTGTTGCTCACCCACATTCAGACAGGTGGTATCCTGAAGCAGCAGTGTATCAAAAAACTATGTTTGGCTACTTACTCCGGTGATTTTATTTATTTAATTTAGTGAGGACAGAATATACATTTTAGTCTGATTCTCAGCTGACATGACACACTTACCATTCAGTTGTCTCTGCAGACAAAGTCTATAGAGATAAATCGTTCACTTTGAGATGTTTACTTTGGTCACTTGGCAAACATTAGGTAAATATTCAGAGCCATTCATTTGGCTTTTTATCTGCTTGTTTAAAATGTTTACCAGCTCGTCTGCTAATGTGCCACTCTGCTGTGTGCAGCTGAGCAGGCAGTGAGGTCTTTAGAGCAGCTACTGTAGGCTGCATACAGAATGATAATAGCAGTGAGAGTGACAGAAAAAACAGCTGACAAATGCTAAACAATGAGCTAAAGCACCCGTATTTCTTTTCYATCAATACAGTCGCTTATTATTTTTCTTTAAGACAACTCTTAATGTCACTGTGTATATTAGTAGAGGACTGATAATAACTGCAAAAGGTTTATGTCATGGTCACCAGTTTTAATTGTTTCATCTTTCTTCCAGAGAAATAATGTTTCCATTGTTTTTCCTTACTGCCAAGGAGGAGGGGACTAAAGACTACAACTCCCATAAGCCTCCGTTAACACACCGTTGAGAGGGAGGCCTTCATGGGTGCAGAACTGAGCTGGAAGGAATTCAAAAACTCTATTATTGTTTGACCCTTCAGCTCCTAAAATCTATAAACCCAAGACATAATTAAATGGGTTTAGGTTTAAACTGCAAAGAGAAAGTTAACGCGCAACCGTTTGGTTGTCACAGCACATCTCTGGAAAGTTTGTGTAAATAAGTGTTTACATTTGATCATTAATAAAATTATTTCTCTAGTACTTGGACACTAGATGCATTTTCATTCAATCTTTCTGACAAAATAGCTGCAACTCTGACATTGGTACACTTTTATTTATAAAAGCCATGCTTGGGCTGCTGCCCTCCTATATCTGTGATTTAATCACAAGAAGTGTTGATTCTTTCTCTTTGTGTTTGAATGACCATTTGTTGCCCTCTGTTCCATTTTCCCTCACAGAGGTGGAATGAAGGGTTTTTATTTACTCAGTCTATATGGAACACGTTGCAAAAAGACTGAGCACCTATAAATCCAGACTAAGAGCACTAGAGATGACTTCCTTAAATTGTGACTGTTTTTTAATAACTTTTCGTATGGCATTTTTAATTGTGTAACTAATTGTAATTGTTAAAGGAGCAATATTATGTGTTTCTCRGGCATATATTAAAATTCTATACCATAATAAAGTAACTATGTCACCTTCAGTTGTTATTAAAATGTTGTTTATATGTTTCTAAACACCTTGAAATTGGCCTCTGTCTCTTTAAGAACCTCCTTCCGCTTCTGTCCCACCCATTTCAGCACCAGCCTGGTGGGTGTGCTCTGCGATGAGGAAGCTCGGCTTGGAGACACAGCCCAGAGGAGGAGCRGKWCCTAAAAGGTGGTTCTAGTCCCAACCAGTCCTTTTTTCCCCTGCCTGGCTGCCTCAGGACACTGCAGGATTTCTCAAACATGCATGAATGAGTCAAAGCAAGARTTTGGGCATGTTTTTGATGAGAGGATAACATTATAACATGATATAAAGCTCAAAAAAGTTAATTTTACATAATATTGCCCCTTTAAGTAGTTTTTGCTGTCTCTTGGCCAGGACTCCCTTGAAGTAGAGGTTTTTAATCTCAATGAAACTTTCTTGGTTAAATAAAGGTTTAAAAAAWTTAAATGTCTGTGAAGGGGGAAAGAAAAGAGTATTGTTTCTGATTACTCATCCATGACTTTATAAAAATAATAAATGATGGTTTAAAAGAGTGTTCTTATAGAAATATGATGTTTCTTTTTTCCGCTCATTTACCTTTTTGATGTTGTTGCTATTTTCAGAGTCAGAGTTACACTCCTGTTGCGCTGGAGATACAGTGGCACGAAAACCCTGTGGAAGACAGAAAACTTAAGTTACATCAGCGTACGCACCATCTACAGATGTTTGTTATTACAATCGGGCTCGGCTGTGGCTCAGAAAGCAGGAAACCCCTCCAGGGTTGGATATAAGCACAAAATCTACTAAAATGACAATTTAAAAGAAGCAGAACAAAACATGTTGTGAAAACAACTTTGAATTTTAAGATGAACCCGTCATTGCAGCTGGGARGCTGATCAGGTGAGTCCAGCAGTAAAAACATTTGAAGGACCTGCACGGAGCAGCTCTGGCTCTGCTTCAAACTCCAATGTCAGTCTCTCAATTTTGACAATTTAATTTTCTGAAATGGATTCTGGTATCATCATTTCGTTGAGTAAATTGATTCGATCTAATGGGATCCATTAAAAAGTAACAAATGTCATGTAATAACCATGGTTACTGTTGTTGAAGCACTATAGGTGGAACGGGAGCTGGAGCTCAGCCATCACTATGGGAACCCTGAGCGTGTGTGTGATGGGTAATGAGAGTGTGAGCGTGTGCAGACAGAGAGTGAAGCTTATCAGCAGTGTGTAGGTACACACATATGGCAGCCTAGCTGAAGTCAGATACTTTTTAGACAACTAAAAAGACCACAGACGGACTAATGAGAAGAACTGGAAACTGAGACACACACTGRGTAAAAAACATTTGTTTTACTTTTAAAATAGAGTTTGTACTTTGTAGTTTTTGACCATTTCAGGAGTTAAATTAATTAAAAACAAACCACGCAACGAAATACAATAAGTTTTAATTCATCAATGTAAGAAATAATTTTCTAGGGTTTCAGTGTCTGGTGTCCTGACCAGGGTGAAAACAGAAATATTTATGAGTACTGTATGTATCCATCTTTCATAATACTGACCAGATTCTCTCCCCACTCAATCAGGCTGTAATCGACTGTAATTTCCTCCCCTTTGGTGATGTCTCGYATGGCAATTACGACCAAGCGCACCTGGCTCCCGCAGTGGACCTCTCGGATACGACAGTTGGGGGCGGGAGGGAAGGACATGGCCGTTGGAGCCGGAGCAGAGGCAGTGGGAGCGGCTGGAGCCGTGGACGCAGGGGTCAGAGAGGCAGCCTGAGCCAAAGTTGCGGTGGCCGGGGCAGGAGCAGGTACCGGTGTCGGGGTCCGGGCCGAGGAGGCGGCTGGAGATGGAGCCGGTGTGGAGGAGGCCTTGGACACAGAGGGGACTTTATCCTGCGTCTGCGCTGACGGACCACTGCAAGGTTTTCAGGATAACAGTCGAATGGAAATGATTGCCTTCATGAGACAACACAAAGCTGCTACATTATCAAACTTGTGTCTTTTTGGATTAGAAAGATGCTGCTTTTCTACTGTTTTTGATTGTGAAAATTTCTAAAATGATTAGCTGCATCAACCATAATTACTGTAATCAATAAAACAAAGTCATACGATAAGAAAATTTGGGTACAGTTTACAAGAAGTGAGCATTTTCTCTTTGCTGTCATTGTACATCAAAAATCAATTTGTGGGGTATTTTTGTTATGGTTTCGTAAATTTATGTTATTAGCCAATGAGCAGTGCAAAAGATGTCCACCTAACCACGTTTTAAAATCTTATATTCAGCCAAAAAGTCTTTTTGATCTTGTTTTGAGACTGATTTACTAAACAAGAACTGACTGTGTAAGAATAATAATCTTGTTTTCAGAATGTGTAAGATTATTTGTCTTGTTAATCTGAAAATTTGATTCAAATTAAGTCAAAAATTTCTGCCAATGGAGTAAGAAAATTTTACTTGGTAAGATTCTTGAAATACTTGATTTGACTAAGTTTTTTCTTATTTTAAGAATCTTACCAAGTCAAATTTTCTTACTCCATTGGCAGAAATTTTTGACTTAATTTGAATCAAATTTTCAGATTAACAAGACAAATAATCTTACACATTCTGAAAACAAGGTTATTGTTCTTACACAGTCAGTTCTTGTTTAGTAAATCAGTCTAAAAACAAGATCAAAATGACTTTTTGGTTGGATATACGGCTTTAAAACTTGGTAAGATGGACAGGTTTTGTAGTGCAGGAAGATGGAAAAAAGTAATTATATGCAGCTTATATAATTTCTATTTTGACAGGTGTCTAGTCTTTAAATACTTTTGAGTCCAAGGTTCTTTTGTTTTCTTGCAGTAGCAACATATCGGCGTATGCAGTGTGTATTTTTATCATGGTACAGTARATATACAGTACACACCTTTTCAGTTACATTTTCTTGTAGACTTAAGAGTCTGTTATTGTTTTGCTACAGAGATCCYGCACAGTTTTCTGAAAATAAACAGTAAAAATGCACTCATACACGCTTGTAACAAAACMTTGGGGTAGGATCTTTATTTATAATCTCATCTTACAAAAGGCGCAGGTTTTATATTTAACTGCATTTTTCTCAAATCTGAACTAAATATCAGCTTTATAACGTGAGCAAAATGAAAACCTGTAAGGTTTGACTGTAAGGACTGTGATACTCTCAGGCAGAGTGTGATTCTGTCATATGACATACACACAAAGACGTGTGTGTGTGTTTGTTTACACTCACCACTTGTGAGAAGCAGACTCAGTGTTACAGGAAGGCCCGTCCAGTGAGGGACGCTTCTCCCCTCCGTCCTTCCGATCACCTGAGAGCACAGAAACAGTGTAAAGAGATTACAGAGCAGGAATACATGACAAAACAAAAGCACACAAAGGTCATCACCTCACCTCCTGAAGTCCACACACACACAAACACACAGGTGCACACAGTAACACATACTGTACATATCAAGCGCACACACACACACAAAAGTAGGTCACCCACTCACACACAGTCCACCCCCACAACGACAGACAGATGTACACGCAAACAACGCTAACACACACATACAATCACAGCTAATGGGAAATAAGAATACAACATTAAAAAAAACACACACACACACAACACAAACCTGAGCTGAGGCTGTGTTCAGGTGTGCCATCTTCCTCCGCGTGTGTGACAAAAACTTTCACGGGTGTCCCTTTTCTTTTCCTTCCACAGCCCCGCCTGCACACAACACACACACACACACACACACACACACACACACACACACACACACACAAACGCCTTCCAATTATCATTAAATCAATTTGCCTAGTGGCCAAACTTCACATCAGTCAGGTCAGAGAGGGATCAATAAGCTGATGGTCAGCTAATGGATC